CTGGTGAGCCTTCTTGACACAAAAACTAACCGAAGAGACGAGATTTTCTGTCGCACTTCGAAACGACATACTATACCCTGTTTTAATTACTCTCGCCCCAGTTTTCAGTCAAAATCTAGGTGTGACTACATTTAGGAAATGGCTGCTCAAGATTCATTTATTTTCCAACACCTAAAATCAGTTTCACTAAGGATGTTGTTCTTTGACTGCTTTGAAACTGTCTCTCGAGCATCTTATCGCCGCGATTGGCGCTCTCTCTCTTCCCTTCTCTCTCTAGCCAGGAAATTCCACATTGATCATTAATGGTGAATGTAGATTTTTGTGGACAAGAATACCATAGAAGAGATGATTGTATTTAAGTACTACCTACCGTATACAGAAAGTGCCAAAAAGAAACAATATTATGATGTTTTCATTCACAAAATAATTCAAGGAAAGTTCTCTTTCACAATTGTGGGTCATTACAATGAAGAAACTTTACAAGCTCTATATTCTGAGTAATGTACAAAATTTCAAATTGAAAAAAAAAAACACTGAAAGAATCAACTATCATACACAAAAGCAAAGAGAATCTGAAACCCAAGATGAACAATCAAGAGAAAAGCCAAAAGGGAATAAAAGCTATGGTCTAAATTTCATGGGTATCAGAAGCACTGTCCATTGAATCCTTTCTCAAGTGCTGGGGGTGGTCGATGTCGATAGAAACTTCATCTGTCATGGCTGACATAGATTTTCTATGATGCTTCAGCTCCAGCCTCAAGTTGACGATCCTTGAGATCACTTGTACAATGTCTCTCATGGTAGGCCGTTTTCGGGGGTTACGGTTAACACATCTATATGCAAGAGCTGCAACTTCGTTCAGCTCTTGCACATTAAAGTTTCCTTCTACACGATCGTCCACAATTTCTTCCCACCCAACTTTCCCATCTGAAGTCATTGCTGCCTAAACATCTCATAATGAAATTACATGTAAGTGATCTTGACTAGGCAATTACTAGTGTTGGTAACTAAACAAGGCTCTTGTCTCATAAAATGTTTCCATTCAAGAACAGAAGCATGAAATAACATTTTCTTTTCATTGACAATATTGGTGATGAGAGAGAGGAGAGAGAACTTACAAGTTCAACATACTCCATCAGGCCTTGTTGTGGGTTTCTGCAAGCTATAAGCTCAAAGAGCAATACTCCAAAACTGTAAACGTCGCTTTTCTTTGTGAATTTTCTAGAAGATATATATTCAGGATCCAGGTAACCAAAAGTTCCACGAATATTGGATACATGTCTATCAACCATCTCTTCTCTGGAAAGCCCGAAATCAGCAACCTGCTTGATCCAGGGTAGTCAGACAAATGTTAAAAACATGAAGAATCCTAACAGATACGATTCTTTTGGGGATCTATGTGTTCTTTCTGTTGAACGTATTGACAAATTATAGCACACATACCCTAGCCCTCATGGAATCATCCAACAAAATGTTTGAAGACTTGATGTCGCGATGTATTACGGGTGGGACTGCCTGCAATAATATCATATAAATGCCACAAGAATGAATTATAAAAATGCAAACTCAAGAAAGCTAAGGCTTCATTTGATAACCATTTCGTTTTCGTAACAATTTCTTTGATATGTTTTTCTACCATTCTTATAAACACATTTCATGCGTTCTTAGCCAAATTTCAAAAAATAACAAAAAAAAAACTCATTTATTTAGTTTTGAAAATTTGACTTGGAATTTGAGAACGATTTTAAAAAGAAGATAACAAAACAAAGAAACATATAAGTGGAAGTAGTGTACACGAGCTTAAATTTCAAAAATAGAAACCAAAAACAAAATGATTATCCAACAGACCCCAAGTATTCTTCTAGGTTAGATCATAACTTACACCATCATGGAGATATTCCAGGCCCCGTGCAACATCTAAAGCCACGCGAACCCGTAAATCCCAGCTCAATGGTTCATTCTTCCCACCTGCAACAGAAAAAAGTATGTCAGTTTTCAAGGAACATATGAAAATGTTATATGTTCGACCATTTTGCAATAAATTAACTAATAGTACTTGTGCTATATGTTCGACTTCTTACTGTATAAGTGAGAAGCCAAGCTTCCTTTGCTCATATATACGTAAATAAGTATATGCTGGCCTTTCTCAGCACAGTACCCGACCAAATTTACAAGGTTCCGGTGATGCAACCTTCCGAGTAGCATAACCTGAAGAACAGAATAAGGTTAAATGGATGAATCAGATAAAAAAAAAAGCATGAAACTGTTATGAATCAATCAGCAAAGTGTGGGCACCAAATCTCTCACAATGTCACGACAAAACAGTCCATGAAATTTTTGTATAAGACCACCTTCACTAAATTTTGTCAAATCCATTCCTTGTCTATCCCAATTGAAAGGCTTCAAACAGAGCATTTTAAGGCAACCTTCTTCTGATTCATGTCCATGATTCCATTATATTATGTTCTCTTCTTAACAAACACAAGAACTTAGAAATTTTGATTTCTTTTGAATTATTTCAAAATATGGAATTTCGTGACTGCATCATAAGAAGAAGATATATCACGACTTACAATAGACAAGCTCCTAAAATTCAATGGTGTTTAGCAAGGTAGGAAGACAGTAACTCGATCCAACAATAGGCTATCATGATATGAAGCGTTTTCGACAAAATGCAATATCAGAGTTCCGATACAGTTGAAGAATAATAATCACCTCTGTTTGGAACTCTTTCTCCCCTTGCTTGGAATCAGTTGCTAGCACTTTAACTGCAACCGTCTCACCACTACCCATTTGAGCTCTATAAACAGGACCAAATGCTCCTTGTCCTATCACAGTCGTGAAATTGGAGGTCGCCTTTTGCAGATCCCTGCCATTTCCAAATTTTAGTTGCAAGAATAACACTCTGAAGGCCCTAATGAGCTACTTTTCAAGACAGCTCCAGCAGCAACATCAACTTCTATCAAATTAGGATACACATCTGGAAAACTAACAAGCTAGTCTTTATCGTATAAAGATAACGAGATCACAAAAGACTGTTCACAGAACCTGTCACTACAAAGATTCAAGAACACACCTGTAAGAATACTCAAGTATCCCAGAAGCTGCAACAACATTACTCTTCCTGAATCCATCAAGCCAGTGGGACATCCCATTGTGGCCAGATTTAACAGGTGACTCAGGAGCTAAGGTTGAGTCTGATAGTATAGTGCAAGAATCAGCGCCATTCATCCGAATAGGAACTGTCGTTGCCCTCCGGGAACTGCTATTTCCTATCTGTGAACGTTTCCGTTGGTACCTAAAGCAGAAGAGAGCCAAAACCGCCAAAAGAATGCCGATCACAACCCCTATAGAAATCCCAATAATCAGTCCGGATGACTCCCCTTTCATCTCCTCCTTTTTGCTTCCCAACTGCCAATAATCCAATAGCTTAATCCATTACAACCCTGCAAGAAGAAGTTCATAATAAGCCATAAACTCAGTGCAGTAGACCAAACAATTTTCTGGAACAGACAAAGTACTGTTCATTTCTTCTCCAAAATCATCACAAAAGTTAAAAAATGATTATATCGTTCAGAACAGCTTCTCTCCCAATAAATCAAACAGTTGATCTGCATCTCATTCTTACGAAATTCCCAAGCATGCTAACCAACATCCGATGCTCAAAACCTTAAACGAAAAGAAAAAGTTGAAAAACAGAGCCGAGACAAAGGGGTCAGAGACAAGACAACCAATCCAAATCTGCTACAAACATCAGAAAAGGGAGAAGAAAAACCAGAAAGGAGTAAAGGATCAAGGAGATGGGAAATCGCATTAGTCAAGCCATAAGCACATATGAAGAAACTAACTCCCGGCTGAAAATACAAAAATATGCAAACAAACGTTCGGAACAAACAAAACCCAGATAGCAGATCAAGAGTAAGTGAATCAGAAACGAGTGTTTTTCTGTCTCCATTTCAGAAAACAGAAACTGGGTATAACAGAGTTGACATTATACTTGCAGTAAGAAAATACCTTGGAAGCGAACTGATTTCTGAGAAGTGGGAAGTTAAAGAGAGATGGGTGGCGTTGGAATGAAGGAAAAAAAAGGAGAGAAAATGGGTAATGGGTAATGAAGTGAGATTCGAAGAATGCGACTCACAGAAAGGAATCAGTGAGGAGACATGAGACGAAAGTGGTTTTCAAGTAACTCCAGAGTCGAAATACGATCTGTCGACTACTTTCTATCTCGGGAAGATGGATTTGGACTACGAGTCGACAACTACGAAGAGAATTAAACAAAAATGCTTCGGATTTTGGGTTTCTTCCTTTTTTCTTGTCGAAAACTTTTGATTATTTATGAAATGAAATGACAGGGAATGAAGGGACTGAACTCGTGGGAGGAATAAATGAAGTTTTTTTAAAATTAATATTAAAAGTCTTAATTTTTTTTTATAACAATTATCCCCTCGAGCGTTGAGCATGCTTTAAATGGTTTTGACTTTTGATAATAATTTATAAATCTATTTATATAAAATAATCTTAGTTTTTGGAAAAAGTTAGATTTATTCATCCACCCACTCCTCCAATGTTTTAAAAAATTTATATATTTTTAGAAAAAGTTTTATCTCAGTATCTATATCTATCGAGACCTTGATAATTTCAAATTTACACTTTTGAGTCTGTATACTCTTACGTTTGAATTATAGTATAGATTTCTTTTAAGTTAATTTGTACTTTAGCTCAATTGTATCATTTGAGGCTTTGTATTTAAAACATTCAATCAAATCTATAATAAGTAACGTTCTTAAGATTGAATAATGATATGAATGAAATTTCATGTGATAATTAATGTTTTGAGCGTTTAATTCGTGTAGAGTCAATTAAAGAAACAACTCAAATAAAAATGAAATGAGAAAATACTTAATTAGTACAACACTTCAAAAAGTATACAAAAACATATTACAAGATGATTAAGTTTTTAGGAGAAAACTTTCTTTACTGAGAAGTAGGTTGTTGCTGCTGGATTGTCACGGCTTGAGCATTGTTCTATCTCTCCCTACGTCTCCTTTGGTTGCCCTAAAGTTGCTGAGGAACAAAGAGGGTGAGAACATAGAAGACTGTTATCAATTTGAAATCGAGAGAAGGGGCAAAGAGATCTACAACTTTCGTTACAAAATTTAATTTGTTTTCCACCTTTCTTTTTCTCATAAGATATTAATATCATCCTTCGAGATTCTATTAAGTAAATAATGTAAGTAACCAACAAATTTACCTGCAAAGCCTTAATTTATCCATATATGTATATATATGTATATATATATATATATATATATATAAGTATTTTGTGGAGTTGGTATTTGAAGATAAAAATGAATGTCCAAAAACACAAATTGTTTAAGATTAGAAAATAGATAGCAAAAGTGAAGTGGTTGTTGATTTTGGCAGTTAATGGGTTAGGAAAAAAAATGGAGATGATGGAAGGAACTATCAACTGTACACCAAACACACACCTAATCTCATTTGGAAATTACAATATTACCCACCAGAGAGAGAGAGAGAGATTCAAAGCATACATCAATTAATTTACATTTGAAAAAATTGCATACACCAAGTAGGGAGGAAAAAAGTTATCTTCGGTAAGAATATATAATTTTTTTGTTAAAATATTCTTCTGGATTGTCTAATTTCGATTTGGTTCATTTTGGTTATTATATTTTTAAAATATTTATTTTAGTCCATGTATTATTAAAAATGTTCGTTTTGGTCCATTCATCTTCATTTTTATTACATTTATTTAGATTATAATTTCAGCATGACACTTTATTCACAGAATTTCTTGAGATGTAGTCATAAATTTTATATTCGATACATGATTTTTATTGTGTATAAAATTTGTGTTAAAATTTTCAAATTGGTCACTTTTTAAAAGTATAGAGACAAAAAAAATAGACCTTTCGAAGGAACCAAGATGAATCTAATTCAAAAAGATCAAAATAGAATTTAAATCATAATTTTTTCCAACGTGGATATCACTTAACTTGTTGAAACAACAGTAGCCCATTTTAAATGTGATAGGTTTAGATCTCGACCCTTGATTTGAATTCTACTATTTTTTTTTAAGACAAGTATATAGTTTTTTTTTTTACACAAAATATATGGTTTTGATATTATACGTAGCTTTAATTTTGTGATAGAAGAATGGCAATCTTATCTAGAAAAAAAAAATCTCATATAATTTTAGAGATATAGCAAAAAAGTTTGTTATTACCAAATTATGATGGAATAATATTAATGTAATCAATTTTCAAATAACACCATTTAACTTTGGTAATACCTATATATTAGCACATGATTTTATTTATAAAAAAAAGGCAAAAACTTGTATTCTAATGGGACATTAATCCTAATTTTAATCACGAACATTCATCATAATTTTGAAATTAAAATATACTAGTCGAAATATTAAAAAAGGGAAAATAAAGACAGACAAATCAATGGAATTGAGTTGCGTTCACAATCACATTGGTTATTTGTTATAATTTCGTTTTAGATTAATTTTTTAATTAGTTTAGTCATTTTCAATCAATATTATTTTTGGCAAGGTTAGTTTTGGAGTCATTTTCAATGTGTTTTAATTGATGTAATGTTGGTTCAGAGAGCTTAATCAACTAGTTTAAATCCTAATTATAGAACATCATGGTTGATAATATATTAATAAAGTAGTACAAATTAAGCATTATTTTAACTCTACAAACTTTTATTAATATTTCAAATGTGTGTATATATTAAAGCCAACTTAATTGCTCAAATTTAAATATATTATACATCCAACCTATATTCCCCGTATGTTATATATGGTAAATAAAGACAGTGGCTACATTAAATTATAGAACATTCACTAATACAATAATTAATTAAAATACATATAATGCAAGTAGTAACTAAGGTTTGATGACATTATTTGTTGTTTCTTTTTTTTAACAACTAAAATTTTATTTAAAAAAACTAAAAAAATAAAACATAATTATTTATTGTTTATTGTTCTTTCTTCTTTTATAGAAAAGTAAAACAAAAATATATTTGAAATTTTTTTTACTTCCTGTCCTCTAAAATTTTAAATTAAAAAAGAGTTAAATTTTTATATGAAATTTATTTTCAAAATTATATATTCAAATTTTTATGCTAATATTTATTATGATTTTTAAAGTGAAGAATGATAAAATAATGCTTTTATTTATGACCTTAAAAAAAACTAGAAATAAAAGAAGAAACAGGAAACCTTATTTTTATATTTCCAAAATTTCTACACAATTTTGAGAGTATTTATTAAATTGAGAAATGAGAAACATAAACAATTACTAAATATTTAGTAAATAGGGGGCTTGATAAATGAAAGAAATAATTGATGGCAGCGGTAGGAAAATAGAGCAGTAATAATGAGTTTTGCGGAGTTGTGTATTTAATTTAACTTATGGAGTTATTATTGGAAATAATTAATAAAGATAAAATTAAAATATTTTTATGTTTTTGGTTCAAAACTAATTTAAAGTCGCAACCAATTTGACAGCTCCTTGAGCCCTAGGGCGGTGGTCCCTTCATGGATGCCACGATCAATTTAATGTATATTTAATACTAAAAAAATAGAGAGAGAATATGTTGAGGATTGGGATTTGAGATTGAATTTTGAGGTGGAATGGATATTTTATTTGGTCAAAAGAATTACTATTATTTAGTTCTCAAACGTTACAATGAAAAAATTAATCTTACAAGTTTAAATTTTGTAACGGTAATCTTTGATGTGATATGTTTTAGGTATATAGATTGGGGATTGATAATTCAAGTTCGACGAATTCTTTTTTAATCGTTACTAAATTACTACACAAGTTAAACTACAGTAACTAAATCATTATTTTAATTAAATTATAAATATTAAAAGTGTTTTTTTAATATTTTTATTTTATTGACTAAAAATGAAAAGAAATTTTTTTAACCTATTGTCTATGGTTGGTAGAGCTTAGTAAGCAATTATCTATCACTACGTAATTTTGTCTCCTTGATTCTATTTTATGTCGAGTTGGATAGATTGACCTACGTGAAATCCGATGGAGCTATATGGAAGAGTGAGCTATACGAGGATCAGTGACCCGCAAAAAAGGAACAAACACTTCGACACTTGAGTAAATAAGGGTTCGAGCTATGATAATTCGTACTCGTACAAAATAGCATACATGCGTGAGAGAAGCGGCGTCCCTTTTATAGGTAGCGAAGATGGGAAAAGTTCGTTGGAACTATTTTGACAGGAGGTTGGGTCGGTTATGGACTGTCGGGTCTAAGGTCGGCATCCTCAGGTCAGTCAAAGAGAACTTAGATGATTCTCCAATTCGCATGGTCTTTAGCTCGGTCTCATAAGTGGGTCGATCTTCTTCCTTGGTTTGGTTAAGTAGATTTGGCCTCTCTAAAACTTAGTTGATTGGTTCACGGTATCATGTTGCATTTTACTCTCCAACATTTCTATTTGACTCAACTGGGACTCGATCCCTATGAAAATTCAATTATTTGATTTCTACACAACTAGCCTTTAAAATATAATAGACCCGAACATATATAGCCTAATTGGTTTGTTTAGACATTTAAAATTTCTTCCATGTGGTTTCACATTTTGTTACTTTTGTAAATTAAAAGATGGTTTTATAATCTTCATATTATTGATTAAATAATTTAATCTCTATGTTCTAGATAGTTTTACTTTTATACTTATTTATAGATGTAATAAATAAGTTTTATGATATGATATTTTATTTTGATAACATTTGGATCAACATTTTTGTTGAAAAATAAGAAAATAATTGCAGATAATTTGTTATATAAAATTCATTTTACTTCTCAACAATAGCAACCAATGTATATGTATGTATATGTATATGTATATTATATATATATGATAAACTTTAATCAAAGAATAAAACCACAATCCTAAAATTGTAATTTAATCTATAATATAACATTTTTATTATTCTATTTTTGTTGTTTTATTCTTTCAAACAAAAATTCAATTTACAATCACTATAAAGATGACGTTCAGTATTTGAAGACAATTATTTAAATACACAAAAAACTCTAATTTCTTAATTCTAAAAGTAAAAATATCTTTTTATATTGTGTTTTAATATATATATATATATATATAAAAGTATATTTGACAAATCCATTCATGTAAGTTATAGCTTATTGAGTTGAAGAAATTTTCAATTTTTCTTCTAATTCGTTATTTTTTGCTAAACTTTCATACCTAGGCCACGTTTACTCGTACCCAATCGTAATGGAAAACAATTGTAATGAAAATCAATCCTAATAAAATCAA